AAGGAGTGGGGGGGGGGGAATAATTGCAGGTTTATCTTTACGTATATATATATATATATATATATATATATATATATATATATATAGAGAGAGAGAGAGAGAGAGAGAGGGGGGGGGGGAGAGCGAAAGAGAAAAACAAAGAGAGAGAGAGAGAGTAATGGAAAGAAAGAGACGGAGAGGGTGATATGAAGAAAGAAAGGGAGAGAGAGAGAAAGAAAGAAAGAAAGAAAGAAAGAAAGAGAGAGAGAGAGAGAGAGAGAGAGAGAACGAACGAACGAGCAAACGAACGAACTTTATTTTCAAAGGGTTACAAATTAGGCACGCAGGCCTGTCTTACATTCGGCCCTTCCAAACTTCCATCTTTCACACAGCAGTTAGAGAGAGAGAGAGAGAGAGAGAGAGAGAGAGAGAGAGAGAGAGAGAGAGAGAGAGAGAGAGAGAGAGAGAGAATATATAGTTAAAAATACTTAAGGATTCCGTTTATTCAGCATTACATGTCTCATTTACAACCACCGGCTCAACAGCCGACATCTTTGTCTGGTCCGGCAAGGAAAAACTCAATACCTGGTTATTTGCTCCCACCTGCATAAGTTCTCGGTCAACGCAGCTCCTATCTTGATATTGTTTGATCTGTTTGCTTGAGAGAAGCTTTCGCCAGCCAAAGGGGGAATCTAGGCTTGGATTAGGGATGAATACTTATCGATCATACTATGCATGGGTCGATAAGCAGAGAAACAGACACAAGTCAGTCAAGAAGGCAAGTATTGGCAAAGTCAACATCATCAAGTGCCTTGCCAGCTGGCGTGGCGTTCATGCATCTTTATATATCTCGGTCTTTGGGGTTCTGGATCAGCTCCACTGACGATATTCCTCCATGCCACTGTCTTAAGCCATCCACCATCATTTCTCTAGGTCTGCCTCGGCCTTTTCTACCAGTGATCTTTCCGGTTGTCACGATATTTTCCAGTGATAATTTTCTCATTAAAAAGGTTAGTTGCGTATCCTTTACAGGACGTTGCAGAACCAACCCCAACAGCCCCTGGCTGTTGTGTGGTTTTTCTAGGCAAATTTACGTCTAGTAGTTTGCCATTGCCTCTGGACGGTCGGCTTTCTTGATACCACTGTCGAAACCAACGCAGGCGCTGGGGATCGAACGCAGCATCCTGGCATTACGAAGCGTTCGCATCGACTTAGCCACAGAGCCGACCCTTCTCACTACATGACCAAATAACTTTGTTTGTCTCCTTCTCATTGTTGTATATAAATTTCTACTTTCTTTAGCCATTTCCATGCAATCATTGTCAGTTATTTTGGCAGTCAAATGTATTCGTAACATTCTTCTCAAGAACCCCATCTCAGTTGCCTCTGAAGTCTTCTTAGTCTGTCTGCTCACATTTAAAGATTCACTGCCTGTACGGCTCTTATTTGTCTCCATTACTGTAGAGTGATATTCTGTTCATAAATTAGGCCGTGAGGTGTAGTCCCGGATCCATGCCGTACAAATTCCAAGTAAACTATTTCCTAGGGGTAACCAATGACAAAGACCAACGGCGGGCAGAATTTGCAGAAAAACGCCGTAACAAAGTCAACCGTTGAAACTGCTACAAACACATCGTTGACAGGCAAATCCAAGAAGTTTATTGAACAATTCCTCACAGATATAAATGGTGTCAATAAAATGCATACATTACAGTCACTGTATCAAACGACGGTTAGCTAATTACTTTCCTCCAATCCGGAGCAATGAGCCTCAGCTCCCCGCAGACTGCGGCATCCAGTAGAATAACTTTTACCTCTAAGCCAGAGTACAGAGCCTAAGCTCCCCGCCAACTGCGGCATCAAGTAGAATACAGCTAAGCCTAGTTTCCAACCTCTGCCATTAACACATTTCTTGCAACTGTCATCTGTCTAAAAAGTGACGTCGTGTCCTCGTCATACCTCATGTTCATTATCGGTTGTCCGTAGTGTGCATCTTCGGATTGCACACAACACTGCCATACAACCCAACAGGCTTGATGTAACATTTCAGTATTTGTTTCATGATGTTTGCTAAGTGTTATTTATTACATAAGATACTTTTCCTCTTCTGAAATGCTACCAATGCCTGGCCCATTCTGCTCTTAATTTCTGTCACATTTCGTCCATCTGATTTTATGAATGTTCCCAAATACTTGAATGGCAAAGTACATTCTTTACACTAATAATTATTCATGCCTAGTAATTCTTAGGGTGCTTTTGTGGTGTAGCGGCTAGACGCTCGCCTGCAGATCTGAAGGCAGTGGGTTTAGATCCTGAGGAAACCACGCTTTAAAAAAAAACTTTAGCTCCCAAGTGGACCCAAGCTTAAATGGGTACCAGGTAAAGTCCTGGAAAGTAAAGGCGGCTGGCGTGATGTTGACCACATCACCCACCGAGAGCCGATTAGTCTGTAAAATATAGGTCTAGCCCTATATGCCCAATACTCCTAAAAACGTCGAAAAGTATTCTTCACTGTGTTATTGATTCATTATAAACGGGAAAATCACCAAGCGCGTTGATGCGTTTTAAGGACGTGGGACTATGCTAAAAAAATTGAATCAGTTTCATATAACCTGCCTCAGAAAGCTGCTAAAAATCAAAATGTCAAGATAAGATCCCAAATATAGTGTTTCTTGATAGGGCAAACCTGCGCAGCATCCATACGGTACTGAGGAATTGTCAGCTGCTTTGGGTTAATCGATCAACCGGCATGCTAGAATATCACCTCCCAGGGAGAGTATTTTAACGCGCGCTCCGGCAAGGGAAGAGGTCCCAGGGAGGACCCCCCCCCCCCCCAAAAAAAAAAAGCGCTAAAAGGACACTCTGAAGACTGCTCTCAATTCTTTTGGCATCAAGACCGGGACGTGGGAGACTGTTGCAAAAGACCATTCTGGATGGCTTGCGTCCATCAGGAATGGTGCATTGGCCTGCCAGGCAGCAGAGGTTGCGCAGGTAGAGAAACGGAAGCAGACTAGAAAGAATCGTACTGCTAATCCCACACTTACTGCGGCTTCCATCTGTTAGGAGCACTGCTCAAGAACTTTCCAGACTCATATTGGACTACTCAGCCACCTTCGTACTCATAATCGTTGATCATTACTACTTTGGATGAAAGTGGTCTTTATCACTCCTGATGGACGAACAAGAACTAGGACTTGGGTACCAAGACAACAGAAGATAGTAAAGTAAAAAGTAAAGATCCCTTTTCACGCCTTTCGGCGCATCGGGCATATGGGCAGAGCGTCCCATATTTTTACAGACCATCAGCACTCTGTGGGTAATGTGGTCAGCATTACGCCGTTTGTCTTTACTTTCCCAGGACAGCCCATCCTGGTACCCATTTTAGGCTAGGTCGACCTGCGACGTCCCATACCACGACAAAAATCCACGCAGCCTGCAGTGGGTTTCGATCGCGGTATGCTGGCTCACGAGTCGGACTCGCAACGCCTTAGAACAGGAGATAGAAGGCGTATTAATGAAACTAAAATAGAATAGCTCAAGAAAAGGCAGAATTTCACACAACAAAGAATATTCTATGCCATCTTTCTTTGTCAGTTAAGGCTAGGAAGATAATTCAGAGCTATATAAATCCTATCCAGGCATACAGAAGTGAATCATTTACAGTTGGGCAGTTAGTGACAGTTTATGTGGAACTTGATTTGCTTTGCGAAAAAAAAAATTGTCACGTTCAACCAGCATCCCTGAAGGGTGAGCTTGAGGTTATAATTATGACTAGGTTATTTGCGCCACATAAAATGGCTTAGCCATGCACGCCACCAAGTAGCCATGAAAAAGGCTCCTGCTGTGTTTGATGAGATCAAAGGAGACAGTCCCAGATACTGTCCCCACCGGTGACAAAGTCGTCTACCGGCCAGCTGCATTTGTATCCTTGCTGAATACGCATTTATAACAAACGGTTCATCGTCGCTGACTCAGCTATCTTCATTGTTTCCTTTGTGGGATGCATTTTTTCGTTATTTTGAAGCCCCACCCTAGCTGTTGCCAGGGGCTGCAACATAACCTAATGGCGGAACGCGGTATCCGGGACCTCTCCACAGGTGATCCTCATCTTCATGGTGGCACTTTGTGTCATCGGATGTTTATCGCTCTGTGTGATGTCCTGCTGGGGTAAAATCGACCTACTTACTCGCTGACTCCTTTCTCTTAAGGTCTCTGGAATGCAGTGCATTTAGTATTTGCTCTGACAGTACATCTTTCGTCACATACCATCGCAGACACGGCCAGTCTATCGGCCCTTTCCTTTTCTTTAACCGCTGTATATCCGGTATTCTTTAAGACACAATAACTACATGTCAAAAACAAAACCAGGATGGCAACAGATTAAGGAATGGAACAATTTGTTTTAATAAATGTTTTTAAGTTTAGTGAACAAACCTTTGTTGCTGGTTACACAATGCAGAGATAGGGGTGATAATGATTTTACAATCAATTCGCAGCTAAGATTGAGATAAAAACTGAAGAAAATAAAATAAAAAAGCAATATTCGTTCAGTTTTGTACTGTCGTTTAATATTAGCAGAAATATTCAAATACAAGAATACTTAAATGCATATTGCACTGAAAATGTAAAATATTAAAATGATATTGTAATCTTCTACAGTATGTAGTTAGTACGGTATTTAAGTTTGTCGTATTCACAGACTGCCTGTATAATTAATTTCAAGTAAAGAACAACAGCTAATTAAATTTCAACATGTTAGATAATGCATTTGAAAATAGGTACCATAAATAATTGTGTTTATGTATATATATTGAAAGAAAATTCCGTAAATAAATGAGTGTGAGCTTACTTGTTGTTGTATTTAAATAATGTTCAAATCGCAATTTGTCTGTGTTAAAGTAATACACTCGGTATTTATTGACCTGTTAATTTGCCTATACAAAGTTAGATTAACCCCATGAGATTGCTCCAAGCTCCAGAAACTCATTTTATGAAACATACAAACATGACATCAAAAGGCATCACACATTTGATGTTTTGCTGCTTTTCTCGTTATATGCAGCGTCACCGAAATGTTCTTTGGCAATTCCGTCTGCTTGAAATAAGTCTACGAGCTCTGTTGCATCACCAGGTGTTAAACTCGCCTCAACTAGCTTACCTTGGTTCACGCTGGTTAGGTCATCGCGTTTCCCAACAAAGCTATGACCGAACCCAGGAGCCCTTTTGCCTACAAAGCTGTGGCCAAAACCTGGTGCTCGTTTACCTACGAAGCTATGCCCAAAACCAGGAGCACGTTTTCCAACAAAACTATGCCCAAATCCTGGTGCCCGTTTTCCTACAAAACTATGCCCAAATGCTGGCGCCCTTTTCCCTACAAAACTGTGTCCAAAACGCGGGGCCCTTTTATCCGTGTCCGGACTGGTTTCTTGAGTGTGGTCAGCTTCTGGTGCTGAGTTTTGGGGAGGGTCGACTTGAGGCTCTTTAACAATTTCCTTTAGGGGCGTTACACCCGTGACGTTTTCCTCTGCTACAATGGCTAGTTCTGGCGTGATGTCCCCACTGCCACTCTCGTCGTTTTCCTGTTCGTTCGAGTCGAATTCAAAGTTGTCTTTAGGGTCTTCTGAAAGGATGTAGTCAGCGTCTTCGTCGCGTTTTCCTACAAAACTGTGGCTAAAACCTGGACGCTTTCCTACAAAACTGTGACCAAATCCGGGTGCTCGCTTGCCTACAAAACTGTGACCAAATCCGGGTGCTCGCTTGCCTACAAAACTGTGACCAAATCCGGGTGCTCGCTTGCCTACAAAACTGTGACCAAATCCGGGTGCTCGCTTGCCTACAAAACTGTGACCAAATCCGGGTGCTCGCTTGCCCACAAAACTGTGACCAAATCCGGGTGCTCGCTTGCCCACAAAACTGTGACCAAATCCGGGTGCTCGCTTGCCCACAAAACTGTGACCAAATCCGGGTGCTCGCTTGCCCACAAAACTGTGACCAAATCCGGGTGCTCGCTTGCCCACAAAACTGTGACCAAATCCTGGTGCTCGCTTGCCCACAAAACTGTGCCCAAATCCGGGTGCTCGCTTGCCCACAAAACTGTGACCAAATCCTTGATCTCGTTTCCCAACAAAACTGTGGGTGAAGCTTGGGCGTTTTCCCATAAAGGTTGACGGATTTTGACTGGGACGCTGTTGTCGTTTTACAGCACTCACATCATTGTCCTGAGAATAGTCTGCGTCAAAACTTGCATCGTTTTGGTCCGCAACCTCTTCCGGAACAAGAGGGTAATTTAACTCGTCCACAAGTTCATTATTAAGTAACGCCTTTTCGATGAATTCGGCGTCATCTTCTTCACGCTTTCCCACAAAACTATGACCAAATCTCGGCGCTCTTTTCCCAACAAAACTATGACCAAATCGTGGCGCTCTTTTTCCAACGAAGCTGTGACCAAAGGAGGGACCTCTCTTCTCCAAATCACTAGCTCTTTTTACGAGATAATGTACAGAAGGTAGATCAGAGAATTGTAAAGGCAACTTAGATTTAAAGTTGTCAAAACTAACCCCGCCAAGTAAATGTTTGTTTGAAGGAAGCCAAGAAGAGGATCCTGTCTCCATAAAATTAAAGGGATAAGTCAGAGGTAATCCTTCAGGAAAACCGCTAGAAATGCCATCGCTACCATATCCATTTCCATTTTCGGAACGCTTTCCTACAAAGCTGTGAGTAAAATGAGGAGCTCTTCTAGTGAAGTACTGGGATCCTTTCCTTTTCCAAAGATTAAAGTTGTCTGCACTTGATTGCTGCCGTTTGCCGATAAAATTATGGGAAAATCGAGGCGCCCTTCTTCGAATTAGGTCAATATCATCATCGTCTTCATCGTCTGTCTCGAACTGGTTCAGATCTAGTCGATCGTTGGCATCAATCTCTGGATCCCGCTTGTGGAAATATCTTATTCTGAGTTTGTTTTCTCTTGGGGCGGACCACTGATTGCCTGCTTCATACTGGGGACTAGGTTGTAGCAGTGAAAGATCACGATAGCCATTTTGTTTTCCAAAAACGTTTGGTCTAAAAAAAGTTGGCATGTTTTCCGGTGTGTTCAAATCTTCAATCGGTAAAGAATTTTGACTGCCTAAATGCAAATATGGAAGGTCGTACTGATTCTGCTCTGGAAAATCGTTGCCAAGTGTGGGCACCTGGTCTCTTTTGGTTCGTTTTTCTAGACTGTGTGTTGTTTCTTTAATATTACCTGAGAAAAGAGAAAAATTAACTATTATTAATTGTGAAATGATGGTCAATGAATTTTCTATAACATCTATAAAATAAATAGGATTCGCTGGGGTGTAGCGGTTCGACGCTCGCCTGCGGATCGGAAGGTCGTGGGTTCAGGTCCTGGCAGAACTAGCCATTTTCTCAGAAATGACCTTGGCTCCCAGGTTGATCCAGCCTTCAGTGAGTACCAGGTTAAGTCCTGGGAAGTAAAGGCAGCAGGCAAAGGCTGACCACATCACACACAAAGCGGCGATTGGTCTATAATATAAGTCTAGCCCAGCATGTCCAATACGCCTAAAGGCGTGGAAAAGGGTCCTTTACTTACTTTACTACATAACAAATAAATTAAAATGCCCTCATTTCCCCATCTCTGTTCTCCATCTCCCTGTAGTCCACATTTCCAACTCTTCATGTCTATCTGTTAGTGTGTATTTATCTTTCTCTCGCCCTGGCTCGCTAGCTTAGTTGGTTGAGCCTGACTGCGAGGCGACTGGGTGACGAACTCCATGTGGTCCGGGTTCACTCCCTGGCGTAGACAGCAGAGCCACATCCCCCCCCCCCCCCAGATTTACGGTATCTGTCAGGGAATCATGGCCGAAGGGTTGCGATATCCATAGTACCGAGCCAAAGGGTGTACAACTCATGGTTTCTGGATATTGAAAATTTGTTTTCTTATCTCTCAGTTTCCCTATAATTTGAGCATGTGTGTGTGTGTGTGTGTGTGTATATATATATATATAATTTTATTATACACACACCTGAAAGTTTGGGGTAAATAGTTTGACCACTTCACCATGGAGACGAACCTGATTAGATGATTTCTTCAGGCACACACACATGCAAAGATACACACACACTTATAAATAAAACACACACACACACACACACACACACATATATATATATATGTTTTTATTTGTAAGTGTGTGTGTGTGTGTGTGTGTGTGTGTGACTAAATAATCTAATCAGGTTCGTCTCTACGGCAAAGTTGTCAAACTGTTTACCCCAAACTCTCAGATTTACGGACATCCACTGACATTGTCGCTTGAGCAACAGAGTTAGTGGTTTGTGCAATGCTCCCGGGAGGTGACTAGTCGCTCTGCGGGAAGAGACTGAGCCATAAGAGATTACAACTGAAGTCCTGGATCTGCAGGCTGCTCTGTGTGGATCTCCAGTGGGTGCAGTCCGTGACGAGTTGATTTGATTTAATTCAAGAACCGACATCACAGCACTCGGGGCATTCCTATAATCGCTCCGTCCCCATCTTCAGCAGCTAGCTAAGAGTTCCGATACTAATGGTGCCAGTAGCATTCTGATTAAATGTCCGTCTTGACATTTCTCTGAGCCTCGAGCATCTGCCAGAACCTCTCGTCACTTCCCCGCTGCATCAATCTCACCAGACTGTGGTGATCCATCTGCTCCTCCGAACTGTACACGCACTCCCACAAAGCACTAACCACGTCTGCCTTATCATGTATCAGTATTCCACAAAGTGATGCAGAGCCAGCCAGTCATGTGAATGATGTATCGATTCCATGCATGAGTCCAGGACCCTAACCATGTGGCGTCGGCTCTGCATTTATGGCAGCTCCTTGGGTGGCGGGGAAAGCCCAATCTGCCGCTGCCTTCCTCTGAAGGCCGAATAGTCTGGAGGCTGTTGCCCTGGATGGGTTCTATAGGAACAACACTTGTAAATAAGAAGACATAGAAAACAACACACAAGTAAGGCCACATCATCGTCCCACGAAACTATCTGAAAAGGCTAACCTAATGAACAAATGCCTGATGAAGTCGGATGTGTAGGCCGACAGGGGTAGATAACACAACCATGCTGTGAGTCGTGGTCCATCTCCCAGTAATTTAAAAAGAAAATAGGGGCTTTTGAGCTGAGATGCTGTAGAACGATTCTCAGAACACCATGGACAAAAAACAAAACAAAAAAACTGACAACTGAGCATCAAGGAAGATTGGCTAATAAACAGCATCCTGTCCCGGAAGCTGAAATGTTTTGGTCATATTAAGCGCCACGGCGGACTGGACAAATGACAGCAGAAGACGTGGAACCAGGAACAACGCAGTTATGTCATTCGGACAAAAGAAAAGAAGAAGATAAAACATGGTGCAATGTCTTTGATCCTCTCGAATATACTCATAATCCGTTCCATATCCAGACAGGATGCCTTTTCGTTCCATTAATACTTCTTCTTCTTCGCGTTCACCGGGTGTAAACTCTGGTGGAAAGTTCTGTTTGATCGTCCACTTCTGGATTGTAGTCCTGTTTTAGAGCCTGGGTATTGCATGTCTATCTGTTTGACAGATCTGACTCATTCGCGTGCAGACTGTTAGTTCCTTGCCTCTCAGGCAGATGCACTCCGACTTCGAAGGAAGCTCCCAATTAGTCGACTTTTACGACATGCTTTTGGGCAGGCAGGAGGTCTTTTCTTGTTTTCCCTATAATAGGGCCCCGGATCCCACACGGGGAGTTCATTAAGTGTGCATCTTCATCTTCTACAGAAAGTACTGGCAGATCGTCTCCATTGTCTTCAGCATGGATATTGTTTTGGCGGTAGGCGGCAGTACCTTGTACCAGCACTTGTTTCTAGGCATGATTTATTCCAACCTTATTGTAAAAGTAAAGATCCATTTTCACGCTTTCAGGCGCATCAGGCTTATAGGAAGAGCATTAATATTTTAACAGACCAATTGGCACTAGGTGTGTAATGTGGTCAGCATTACACCGGCCGTCTTTACTTCCCCAGGACATACATCCTGATACCCATTTTAGGCTGGGTCGACTGGCGACTCCGCCGTACCATGATAAAAATTCACGCAGCCGGCTAGCCTTATTACTTGTATAATAAACACTTTGTGAACGGGAAAGCCCGGGAGTGAGTGGAACGGGAAAGCCCGGGAGTGAGTGGAACGGGAAAGCCCGGGAGTGAGTGGCGATTTTAATGTTCTCACGGCCGCGTTTAGGATAGTGGGGTCCATTGTTTCTGGGGTTAACTACAGGGTGTTTATGATTCTGTATACTAAAGATTACTGTGTGTGCTCTGTGTTTGGCTTAGTGTATTGTGGGAGTCGCCGTGGCGGAGCGGTTAGACGCTCGCCGCGGATCGGAAGGTCGTGGGTTCGCTCCCTGGCGGAGCCGGACTGTTTTCAGAAATCACCTTTACTCCCAGGTCGACCCAGCCTTGGGTGGGTACCAGGTGCAGTCCCGGGAAGTAAATGCGGCCGGTGTTATGCTGACCACATCACCCATCTTGTGCTGATTAGTCTATAAAATATACTTCTTGCCTTATATGCCCTATATGCCTAACGGGGTGGAAAAGGGTCCTTTACTTTTCACTTTTTTCACTTAGTGTGTTGTAGTGATATACTGTCAGTAGCCTACTAACGAGCCGCATTCCTGCACGGCTGGAATAGGGTTGCTGACAAGTGCCAACACAAACAGTCTGACACTAGATTTGCACAGTAACTTTATTAATGCAGTAAATAAACCTTGTATTTGAACCGAACGTACGCTGTCTGTCTGTCTGTCTGTCTGTCTGTCTGTCTGTCTGTCTGTCTGTCTGTCTGTCTGTCTGTCTGTCTGTCTGTCTGTCTGTCTGTCTGTCTGTCTGTCTGTCTGTCTGTCTGTCTGTCTGTCTGTCTGTCTGTCTGTCTGTCTGTCTGTCTGTCTGTCTGTCTGTCTGTCTGTCTGTCTGTCTGTTGGTATTTGTACGCTAGCACAGGCACTACTTTTGTCCCATGCGGGTGTTTTAGTATCATCCCCACGACTCAACCCTCGTTACGCCAGATGGGCTAACCCCTTCCTCCCCCCTTTGGACACAGTGAAAACTGTGTCTGTTAGCTTTAACTCCTCCCATTACTCATGTATACCGACCCAGTTTTC